GTGGCCCACTCCTCACTCACAGAAGACCCCAGGAGTTGGGCGCAGTGCTCTCCAGAGACCCTCCCCCAGGGTCTGGAGATGGTAAGGGGGGGTTCCAGCCCCTCCCCAGCCAAGAGATGCTCTTTCACAATCGAATGTCAATCGGATGTCACAATCTCAATCGAAACAGGGAGGAGCCTCCAGCATCAGGGAGGCTCGGTCCTCATCTCAGGGATGTGCTCCCTGGTGAAGGTGGCCTGAAGCATCTGGTTAGTGAGATGGATGCACGGGTCCCTCAAGGAGAAAAAGAAAATCACAGGGACTTGGACAGGGGTGAGAGGAGACTTCAGGGGAGGACCTGTGCTGGAGGTCACTACCAGTTGTTGCCAACACCATTCTGACACAAGAAAGATGCCGGTGGAGAAATAAATCAAAATGGCCAGGAGATTTAGGTCAAGGTGAGTTTATTGTCCAAATAGCACAACCTAATTGCATCCCAAACCATTTCAATTCCATCTTTAAGCTAATCAGAATAACAGGTTATTATTTCTTTTTTTTAAAAAAATCACTTAACACTGAACAGATAGGGCCTCTTCAAAGGCAGCTGACTCTACCGTGTCCCATCACAGCCAACGGGCAATTTCCCTTACTTCCTAAACCCTCTCGTGTACACCGATCATGCTACTGTAGCACTTGCTAGCATCCCGACCAAATAAACACCCACACCTCTTATAGAGTACATTGTGAGAGAATAACATTGACTTGATATGGCATCACACTCGTTTGTAAAGCAAAAAAAAAAAAAAAAAAATTATAATAATAATAAAAGAAGTCCAAGACGAGAAACTATAACTGAGAGAGAAAGAGAAAGAGCTGAGGTACAAAGTATGAGGGCAACAAACATCATAATGGAAAAAAATCCAGTGGCCCGGTGGTTTGCTGGGTTGGCCGGCAGTAAGAATGAAAACCAATTTCAAAACAAAACGAAACAAAACTTTTTTTACTTTTAAGGACAGGCACCTGTCAAAATACACTGGATACTGTAATGGTTACAGTCAGTAAGGCACTTTTTTCCCCCAAAGTAGGCTGCAGGCAAAGGAGTACATGTAGCGCCAGCATGCACAGAACGTCTGCTGATGGCTCCTTGGGACCTGAACCAAGCATGGGGTCGGATAACCCAGCCACGTCTGAAGGCAGAGAGCACGCAAATGCAGGGGATCATTCTGGTAGAAAGGACCCGTCTGGGTGGTTTAGAATCCAGAATCAGGAAAAGCCACGTGGTCCGAGGAAGCCATCAACATCCTCTGGAGTCTTCTGCCCTATTTGTACACATGGAAAACTGCAGGGGCATTCTCGAACACGGCCCCGAGCCCACCCAATGGAAGCTGAGCTCACCCTGGAGCTGCAGCCTGGTGTTGGCTGAAGGGGATTTTACCGTCTCAGCACTAAGTTCCCTTTTAAAGCTATTCTCAGGGTTGGACTGTCTCAAAGATAAACAAAGAGGAATCCTTTTGGCGTAGAAGCCAGCTGGCTTAGCTCACACTTCCTCCTCATTTCTACCTCCCATTCCCACACTACCAATATTATCTTCTTGAACTAGAAAATCATTATTTACATGGTATAAGGTGCAAGTCTATTTCTTCTCCCAGCCCTGCCCACTGGCCTATGGAGAGAAAATTCCCCTGCCCTCTTTGAGAAAGTCACGCAATCCTGCCTAATGTTCTCGACCGGCCTGTCCCAGAGGCCCCCAGGCCGGTGTGGAGAGGCTGAGAGACGCCAGCTTCCGGTTGAAGGGCCCACCTTGCCAGCCGGGGTCTGCTGCCCCTCCAGCCTGGTCATGTGAGGCCCCATCAGAGGGTGGTCTCGAAGCCAGGCGCGCCCGACCTGGCTAGGAAGAGAGGCAGAATAGAACCTCTAGGACAGAGCAGGTAGACCAGAGGGGAGCTGGCTGTGAGACTTGGGGGGGGGGGCTGGGGTTGTTCCAGAAGAACCTCCTCTTGGAGAACCCATTCTCCAGGAGCTCTCCTTTTAGCACAGGGGGACCTTCTGTTGAGGGAGCTGTCCCCGCTGCCACCACAGGCTTCTTGACTGTTAGGAACCCGCATGGCGTCTTGTTATGCTTAGGCATATATTTTTGGCATACTAGGATTATCATCCCCCCTGGGGTTTGGCCAAAATAGGGGAAGAAGCAAAATTTGGCAGATGAGGGGACAGCTTAGTCCCCACTGGTGGAGTGAATAAAAACAGAGAGAGGAGGGGTAAGGAAGAGACAAACAGATGACAGCGTAGAAAGAGACCAGAATAGGCCTGAAACCCCTTTAGTGGGAGGTTGAGAGAGAAAAAAAAAATCCCGGGGAGAAGTGAACTCTCCCAGACAAAAACAAAAACAACCCTACCAAGGAAACCCAGCTCCAGGGGGAGGGTATAAGCCCCTTTAAGAAATCCAGGGTTCCCCCTTCCACCAGAGGTGGGAGGCAGAAAAGTCAGACCACCTAGCACCTTCCCCCGAAGGGCCCCTCACTCCCTTCACACTAGGCCAGGAGGACAGGACAGGAAGGAGAAAGAGCTGGATAGCCCCAGGGGCACCCAGGAAAGGGAAAGTTCCAGGCTACAGGAAGCATCTGCAGGCCTGTCCCCTTCCTTCTTTGTCAGGGTCTGTCGTTGGCTGCTTCTGTTTGAGTTTAGGGGCTGGTCACCATGACATGACTTTTGACCTTGCTTTCCCTTCAGGCTCTGAGATGCCCAGGGCTCTAGAGACCATGCCTTCTTCCAGCCAGTGGGCTGCCCCAGGACAGTGATCTGTGCAAGGTGGGCCCTTTGAAAAAATCTGGCTGTGCAGCTTTCCTCTTCAAAACTTCAGAATTCACCATCCACTGCCCCAACAGAAACTCCCTAGTATTTTAGGGTCATGCTAACTCATCAAGTCCTGAACGCTTTTAGCCACACTGCAAGAGAGACCAACTCATCTGGAGTGCATCCACCCATCTGGAATGCATCGCTGCAGATAAGCGGCCTCTCCACCTCCCTTCGACTACCATTCAATACACATCTCACCTATTTTTCCAACCATGCCACTTCAATGCAATTTAAAACCTGAAGACTCTTTAGCACCGCTTGCCAGAGGGTCTGGCAATGCAGGGCGCACACCTGCTGTGGCTGGGAAGCAGGCACCCCACAATACTGCATCCTGCAGAGACACAGACCCACGACTCAGACCTAGGACTTCTAGAGATTCTAACACTTCTAAAAACTTCTGAGATTATCCTAAACTGGGGATGCCCATGTCAGGGAAGGAAAAAGATAGAGGGCAAACTTTCAAGATGGAAAGACCCTAAGCAGATGGAAGCCTGCTTTGGAAAGGCCTGCAAGATGAGGATCTTGAAATCGCCTGCTAGAATGCTTTTACATCTGTCTCCTGATACCTGACTTCCTAGTCCATTGCATAAATGTTTGTGCCCAGAATGTCTGCATTGGGGGTGGGGGTGGGGGGTGGGGAACCATCATGAGGAGGATACCAGAGTCAAAATGGAAGCCTGACGACCTTGCCCACTGGACCCGGGGGCCGACTCCGCCCTGCCTTCCACAACAGAGGAGTTTGCAGTCCCTTCCCTGCGTCCCCTCTCCCACGCTAATGGGCTCCCAAGCAGAAACTGTGTGGTTGTGAGGTATTATGAAAACAAAAGTGTGAATCGTTTTCTTTTTAGCTATTGATTTTATCCAGTAAACCTGAGGTAAAGAATACTCTGTCTTTGAAGAATGTGATCAGAGAGAAAAACAAAACAAAACAAAACCCAAAATGAAAAAAAAAAATCACCATGAATATGCTACCAGAAGAAGAAGAAACTATGGAAGGGCTTTTCCAGTACGAAGAACTCATATCTCAACCATCCACTTCAGGACTTGGAATTTAAGCAGTAAAATAATATATTATAAAAATGTTTATAAAATAGCAGCACACTCTGTGAAAACATTACAGCTAGGTACTGTTAATGTGAATAAGGATGAATGATCTTAGCCTCTTAGCAGCGCAAAAAAAAAAAAATAATAAAAAACTGAACACAATAAAACGAAAAATAAGAGACCCTTAGATTTTTCTCCATCTTCCACCATCCTACTACGCGAAACAAGGCAGAATCTGCGTCTAAAATAATTCTTCCAAGAAGCCCTGTTCTGATTTTTTTTACTTAAAAAAGGCAAATATTTCAACAAATAGCTTCATTACCTGTCAATTATAATTGTGCAAAAAAAAAAAAAAAAGTTGTTGCTCCAACCTCTTTGTTAACTGAATGCCTCTAAGAAATGGAGAGGGAAAAAAATTCAAGTACGCTGAACACAACTTTGCAATGAAATGAGCAAAAAACGGAAAGGGAACACAGTGCCACACTCTGAGGATGTTCATTTGTCTGTTTTTGCACCAGCAATAACTTTTCTTTCCATGTCCAAAAGAGAAGTAAATATGGTGGGTATTAAGATCCTTCTGTGTCATCGAAATGGTAACAGATCTTTTGTGTTTAGGCTTTTCTGAGGAATGTTGTCATGGGGAATGTCAGCGGAAGAGGGTATCTCTTGAGTCCTGGTTAGGGACCCCAGAACTATGTACCGGAGAATGACAGCTACCAGGATGGGAGAGTTACTAAGCAAGGGGGGGAGGGGGCAGGAAAAGGGAGGAGTCTATTCAGCATGATTTGCATAAACCATCCCATCTACCCCTCGGGAACAATTTTTCAAAGTGCTTTTCGAATGGAATGGTTTATAACAATGCTATAAATGCTATACAGTGGACCAGACATGCCAATCAGCACCAAAAAAAAAAAAAAAGTTTTTTCCTAATCAGAGATGCCCAGGTCACATCACTCTCTTTAACACTCAAAAAAGAAAAGATTTCGTTCCAGATCCCACCCTTGGTCTCCACCTGCCTCTGTTCAGAAGAGTTTTGGTGACAGCCCATTGCTAAATCGCCCCTTTCAATCCAAGTACGATGAAGCCTGCAATGAACCACATTGGAAGTAGAAGCAAGGATGTCAGAAAACATGAAAACCCAGAATCCAATTGTCCAACTGGCAAAATAAAACATCTTTTTAGGTAGCAGCTACTGTAGACAGCAAGAGTTCTTAACGAGAGATGCAGCGATGCTCCTGACCTGGAAAAAGAGTGGCTGGGAGCAAAGGTGCTTCTACATCCAAATGGTTCGATCGCGCTGAGAGACTGTATTGTCCTCCCCATCTTCCCTCCTCCTTTCTGATTCCTTCTCGAGTTCATTGCTTTGCAATCTGATCATGTCATACATGGCATACGCAGTTCCTTGAAATGATCCTAAAAGGGTGTATGTGCTAGTTGGTAACATGAAAAAAAAGTCTCCTCTAATTCGTTCCCATATTGCAGACGTTTTCTCTAGCTACTCTGCAGTTTGCTGTAAGCATTTCACTATTACTTTTAACATCATCAAACAATAACTGTTCGCATATACAAGGGATTCCCTTCTGTTGTACTTCAAATAGGCACCAAATGCTTTTAATTATTCCATTTTTATAGGACCTCTTTCTCTCACTTCTAAAAGATCTTTCCATATGATCTAGGTGGGGGCAGATTTTTTTTTTTTTTAAGTTGCATCCTAAAACATAAAGAACAAAAACATAACCAGAGAGGAGAGAACAGATTGGAACATATCTCTCCCCTCAGCCCAAGTGACCACCTCACAGGTCGATTTCCCGCACATCTGTGGGGGTGCTGGCTTGGTCCAGTTCATCCTCTGACTTGGATCCATCACCCTGGTCCTGGCGGAACTGCTGCAGGTTGTTGAGCAGAACCACCTCAATCTGCTCCTGGCAGGCTTTGAGGCAATCCTAGAAGAAGAACAGCCCACACCAGCCTGGTTAGCAAGACCAACAGGGCACAGAGCGTCTTACGAAGAAAACATACACAGCACAAATCTTGCACGATTTGCCACATGCTTGAAGGGCCAGAGAGCCTGGAGGCTCTACCTGGGGTCCCACCACATCTAGATCCCCTGAGAGTGTGCAGGAAATGCAAAACTCGGCCCACTCCAGGCTCGCTAACCCACACCTGCAGCTTAGGAGAAGCTCAGGTGATTCAGTGGCACCTGGATCTCAGAAGATGAGTGGTTTATGCTGGGCCTGGTGACCGAAGGGGCTGACTGGATGCTTCCTGCTTGGAGAAGTTGCTCTTCTCTCAGACAGAAAGAGAAAGGAGCACCTCGGGAATAGAAGAGCATGTACCTCATGGTACTGACCCTCAACACCCTGTAAGCATGTAAAGACCAAAGCATCTCCCCTTTTTTTGCACTTGAATGCTCATTAAAAAATACATCATGTTTACAAAAATTCTGGGCATCTGAGCTGCCCAATCTGAGGAGGAGCACAAATGAACAGTACTGCTATGGTAATCATCTCAATCTGGTAGGGAAATTCAGGGTGTTTGCCCCAGGCAGAAGCTTCTGTTAGTGAGGTGATGAGGACAGCGATGACAGCTCTGGGCTCACCGGGAGAGACTGTGGTTGCCACTGGCCAGTGGGATGTGAGCTCTCCGTGGATCGCCCCCAGTCTCTCCCATGAGGTGCCTCCTGGGGCTTGAACCCACCTGGTCTTCCCACAGGCTCACGCCCGCCTCCCTTTTGTTCATCTCACCGTGTGATTCCTCACTGTGCCCAGCACAAACGCATGATCTTTCTTTTCCAAGGACCTGAAGCAAGCTGGAGTTAACTACTCGGGGACAGTTTCCACACCCCAATTTCTGCCCTTTCCTACCCACCGTGTGAATGTGAGAAGGATGAGGGGTGGGGTGCTGGCTCTCGGGCAGTTATTACCTTCTCCCATGTCGGTTTCCCCACTTGAAAAGCAAGGACAATGACATATTCAGAGTCAGGACTGATACTATATTGATGTGAAAAGTTCAACCAATGATCAGGATTGATCATGAATAACGATAAATCAGGTCCTGAAATCCGAAAGAATTCTTTAGGTTGCTTTACAATGAGATACAAATTAGCATTTGCTCAGGACTGCAAATTAGCATTTGCTCAGGTGAAGGGGACCCCAAGCATCTAGCAATGAATTTGGAACCAGAGACAAGGCCAGGCTGCAGGGGCCACTGGCACCTCAGTGTTTCCGGTGCCGTCTCTTGCTCCCTGTACTTGTGATTACCAACCTGAATCATATTGACACTGACCAGCTTGTGACTGCCCATTCCTCAAACTTAAAAAGAAAGATTATAACTAAAACAGTTACCCCAGAATTTGGGGGGCTCTAAGCCCCTACCATGCTCTTTTCTGGATTCACCTATGACAGAGCAGGGCGTTAATGCTCTCTCGAATCAGTCATGTTCCCCTGCTCTGGAACATTCTTTGGAGTCTCTGCCTACTCTCCTTCAGGCACCCCTTCTTTGAGATTCCTCCATTCTCAATGCAAGTTTCAACTGTGCGGAGCCCCCATTTTACCCAGAAATTGTATGAAAAGCTTCTTGAAGATAACAACAACCTGCCTTGCTTTATAAACCATGTCGAATCTTCTACTTCCAGATGGCAAAAGAGATCAGTACCCCCTTTCTTGGCAGCACATACTCTGCATGCTAGCACCCCAGTTTGGCTTGGCACTGCCAGGAACCTCCTCGGGCTTCCAAGGAGTGTGTGAATTTCCCATGTGCTGATGGTAGGAAAGGGCTCTGAGAGCTGAGTGTGTAGTGGGTGTCTGCTGAGCCCACACAGCACACTCTGCCCAAGGAGCTCCAGAGCAACAAGGCAGGATAGTCCCGGGGCCTGTCTGGAGGGAGCCAGTGAGTGGAAGGCAGGAGAACTGTCTCCAGCCTGAGGATGCTGTGCCAGGTCAGGCTGAGAGGAGGAAGCTGAAGGGGGGACAAGATGGGAGAGGATGGAGGGGGAAAAGGGGTTAAGAGAAAGCAGATTTAGGCAACGGTACACAGGTCCTGACAGAGTCTGAGAACTTGGGGGCCTTCTGGCCTTTTGGTGTACAACAGACACCCTCATTTCACAGCTGAAGACGTGGACTGAAGCCTGGTGTGCTCCCCAATGACACCCAGTTCAAAGCTCAGCCTGGCCTTTAAAGGGCAAGCCTCCCCGCCTTCCAGAACTCTCTTCTCTATGCACCTCTGCTTCTCCAGGGCGCCATATGAAGACACCCAGGGCAAAGGACCTCTGAGAAAGGGGGACAAAGCCCCAGTGGCAGGGAAAACCCCACAAGGCCTGTCTTAAAAGATGTTACGTGCACGTGAAGCCTACCAGCCCCGAGACCCTTGCTTCCTGGCGGCCTCCAAAAGCACCCGCCATTGTGTCACGATGCCCCAAATTAAGCTGATTAAAAGGAGCACCATAATGCTCGTCTGTCAGCCCGGACAGGTGGCACTCCGCAATGCTGGAGGTCGGGCAAGCCTCCAAGGCCATGATGATCGGTCCCGCCCCTGCCCACAGCCCCCCAGCCCCAGGGCCCTAACAGGGCGTTTGTGATCTCCAGCTCTTTCCACGGGCCTCCGACTTCCTCTGCTGGCTGGCTCCAGCCCCGTGCCCTGCACCCTCCTCGCCGCCATGAATGGGCCGACGGAACTCCTACCACCAGCCCCCAGTGTAACTGCATCACCCATTGTCACCACACACGCACTGCGCTCAACAGGGGGACAAAGGACTGAATGAGCCCCAGACCCGCGGCCAACTCAGGCAGAGACAACTTAGGAAACTATCTCATTCTTCCTTTCTTCACAGGCTGTTTGGCTTATTTCCTTGCATACCAAATGAGGCCCACAGAAAAAAATAAGGCAGGAGAGGGAGGCGTCAGCCTCTGATTCAATTCCTTCCCCTCCCCACCCCCAGCTTGCCTTCCAGCAACCTCACGGGGTTCCCAACCAAACATAGGCCCTTAGAGTCTGCAAAGGACAGTCTCAGTCATCCAGGGGTCTTTAGAATGGACAGTGACATAACATTGGGGACCCCGGGAAGAGCATCAGCAAAATGAAGACAGCTGCAGGCACTGTGGGTTCTCCTGGGATACCTCAAGGACAACCCAACCACAAAATGCCAGATGACTCTTGGGAAGGGCAGTTCTGGAGTCTTCTCTGGAAGTCTCCCCAAGCACAGAACTGTAGGGACCTTAGGGGCTGTCAGTGGCCCCAGAGCCAGGACAAAATATTTAGACAAGGGAGCTGTGTCGGAAAGGATCAACACAATGGCCAGGTGACCGGAGCCCGGATCTGTTCTTAAATGTCTCCAGGGCCTCCCCCTAATGTCTCCATGGTCTGTGAGCCTCAGGCCACTTTTCTATGAGTGAGTCAGCAAACTGTGAGTCAGGTGAAAGCTAAGTGACCGGCTTCAAGGTAAATTCAGGTGAGACTCAGGGGACCGTGACACAGAGCTGGTCAAGAAACAGTGAGCCTGTCAAAGAGACACAGGCAGGCCACATGGGAAAAAGCCCTTCTTGGACCTCTCTGCCTACCTCCCCTCACCACCCCACTGTCCTTCGGTTCCTTCCTTCCTCCTCCCCTCCCTCTCTTCAGCCTCACTCCCTAAGGACTCTGCCAGGGGCTCTGGATAAAGAGCTGAGTAAAAGTTGGGTCTCGTTCAAGAGGTTCTATAGACAAGTGAGCAGTGAGATAAATGTTGGCACCAGAGCATGAGCTAAGATCGAGGGTCCGGAGAGGAACCCCAATTCTTCCTGGGGAAGCGGGATGCTGGAGCCTTCCCCTCTCACTTGCCCTTGGCAACAGGAGCCCGGTAGATGCTCCCCCATCGCCAGACCTGCCTTTTTGGCTGGTGTCTGTTTTTAGCAACACTTATGAGTGGAAGGAAAAAGGACTTAAAATATACCACCCTCTGAGACTTTTATTCCCTGTAAAACTGTCAGGCTTCTCACTCAGCTTTCTCTTTGGAATGAAGCGTTCCGGTTTATTTTGGCAACCAGAGGGAGCAACAAAGGCCCAGCTTTCTCAGAGTCGCCTGGGTCCCTTCTCTCAGAGCTGTCTGTCACTGGCCTGCATGCTACAGAAACCCTTCTGTCACCCTCAGCCAAGGGAACCCTCTTTCGAGTCTGTTCCCTGACCATCCGCAGAGAACACTGGAAACTAGAAGAAATCACCAAAAATCGAGGTGCAGAGGGCAAGCACAAACCTGTAGGGGGCTTTAGGGTAAAGCGTCAACCCTGCCCCGTTCCTCTTTTGTTAACGGACCAGAGCCAGTAGGCCAGACACAATGTGGCTTCTCTCCGGCAAGCCACGCTGACCTGGAGGCATTTCCTGCTGCGGGCCGAGGACACAGCATGGGTACGAATAGGGTGTGTGGCCAGATAGACATGTTTCTTCATATTGTGGCAAAATATACATAAAAGTTGCCATCTTAGTCATTTGACGTAAACAGTGGTACTAAATATATTCACCTTGTGGTTTGACCATCAGCACTCTCCATGCTCAGAACTTTTCGTCACCCCAAACTGAAACTCCAAGCCCAGCAAAATGTTAACCTCCTCCCCCCACTTCTTGGTCCTGACACCCTCTGGTCTCCAGCAGTCTCCCTGAATTTGACTATCCAGGTACTTCCTCTAAGCGGAATTACACATTCGTCTTTCTGTGACTGGCTGCCTTCAGGAAGTGGGATATTCGTGGTCCATCCACAATGGAGCCTGTTTCAGTATTTCATTTCCTGCTAAGGCTGAAGGAAATCCGCCCATGTAGACATCATGCTTTGCTTCTCTGTGCCAAGGACACCTTCTGTCACCATGGAAGGGCCGCGCTATCATTAGGTATTGTGTGCTGCTTCCTCAGAAGCGATTCTTACTGGATTTCATGTTCCTACACATCAGTTAGCGTGTAATCACTATGATCCTCATTTGCTAGAGTTTCACAGGCTTTGCTCTTGATGGTCTGGATAATCACTAAGTTCTTGAATAAGTTCATGTCTTATTGTCCACTCACTGCTCACACACCCCAACTTCTACCCCAGGGTCTGGAGGCCATGCCTTGCTCCAAGTGTAGTGCCTACAGCATGCAAGCCTTCCACGAATACTTCCAGAAATGAATGGAGAGGAAGTGCTTGGAACACACCACTTCTTGCCTCATGAAATGGGAAGCAGAGCTAAGAAGCAAAACTCCCCTCTTCCCAATGCTACAGTTTTTCCAATAGTCTTATTACTGGCTTCACTCTCTGTTTCAGCTCTTCAGAGAATATAGTCTGCAAGCTGAGGCTTAGCGCCTGAGCCCAGGGGGCAGCTTCCCTGTCCCCCAGCTCATGTCCTGAGAAGCGTGGGCAGACTCTTACCACCAGAGCTCTTACTGCGGTCTGCAACTGTTACCTGAAAAAGCAGTGTGGCTTTTACATTCTACTATGGTATGTGATTTTCAACAGCCGAGTGCTTTCCCCTGGCCCTCGCCAGTTCGGTAGCTGGGGTTTCGAGGAGCAGACCTGGAACCCAGGTTGCCTCGATGCAGTCTGACAGCAAATGAGTGTGGTGGCCAGCATTCCCTCCACAGGAGGTGAAGAGCGAGTCTGGAGTCTTGAAAAGCCAGGCACTAACTAGGAGTCTCAGTGACACCCCTAGAAGGACCTCTGTCCACTTAAAGGGGTGACAAAGAGCCATGTGGGGGAGGGCTGGAGACCGTAGCACAATCAGCCAACCAGAGTCTATAAATATCTGCAAGAGCTTCCTATGCCTGGGGTGGCACTCCTGTCACTGACACTTTTGGCTCTGGGGGTCGAGGGAGGACTTGTCTTAAGACAGGGGTTAGGAGTTCTTTTTGTCAGGCAGCCTTAATAGGAGATACTCAGAAAATAAAGGACACACACCACTTTGATAAATGCTGACTTCTGTCCAAGATATGTCTCCGGGGGTTAGAAAGCATTCTTCACGTGAAATGGCCCTGAGGGGTCTCTTCCATCTGAGTTCTGGAAACCATCTTTAAAAAGCCTGTGTTTGAGAGCCAGCATTGGAAAAGTGTATCTAAGCCTGGCTTCAGGGGGACCCGGCCATTCCTTCAGCCCGGGTCAATCCTTCAGCCCTGGGGCTCTGCCCCCCAACATCGTCTCGAGATGGCAGTAGATGCCTGACAACATACAGCCTGGGCTCTCTGTTTGGCCTCCAGCTGGGGGAGGCCTCAGGCCCAGACCAGTAAACCTCACTATCCCTCAGGTCCGTATAGACCCACTGAAGGCACTCAGAGGCCCCGGAACATCCCAGCAGTCATCTTGACGGTCCCTGAGCCTCCCCAAGTCACTCCCTGGGGGTCAGGGTGGCAGCTCTCTCAAGCTGCCTCTAAACCAAAAGTCTGGTTCCAAGTGAGAAATGACAGAGCTGCAGCCGGAGTGGGATGCAGAGTCCCAGACCCACCGTCAGCCTCCAGGTCCTAGGCCCAGCTCTGGTAGGCGCCCCTCTCCCCCCCACACCGCTGGCTTCTGCTCCCTCCTGCCTAAGGAGCAGGAGCTGCTTCTCAGACCGCCAGCAACCTCCCTCCTAGGGGCCAGCAGCAGCCCTCTGCACCCTGTTCTGTTTCAACCTTTCTTCTTCTAAGAAGCTTCCATTTCAGGCACCCAGAATTTCAGCCCCTGGGCCTTCCTAGGGGCATACCAAATGGAAAAAAACCTACAGCTGATCATAGTGCTCTGAATGTCGACAGCACTTGACTGTTGCACAAGTGCTCTTCATGCATGACCACCGTGGACAAAAGGGAAGTGAGACGAGGCGGAGAGGCCTGTCCGGGCAGACACTGTTTTCAAGGTGGGCGCCACTGTGACGCCGCTCCCTGCCTGGTCCAGCCCAGCCCTGGCTCTCCCTCTCCTCCTTGTGCCTGTGGCTGTAGGGTGTGGCAGCAGACCTGAGGGCTGAAGCCGTGGCAGATGGTAGCCTGGCCATGGCTTGGACATAAATAGAAACACAGCCACAATTCAGGCCCACTGGGGGGTCAGTGCCACACAGGGAAATTGGTAAATGTGCTCCCTCCTCCATGTCTCTGCCCACTGCCTTCTCTTCCCTGCTGGACATCACACAGGCTTTGGACAGCTCAGAGGACTCACCTGCTGAGTTCTACCTGTGATGTGGAGCTTAGAAGCCACCACCAATAAAAAACGCCTCTAACACATCATTAGCATCATCATCATCAAGCCCACGCTCTTCCTAAACAGAACAAAGAGACATCTGGTCTGAACCGAGAAGGTGATCGCCACCTACCACATCCGTGTTGGTGACCTTGGCCAGCAGATCTATCAGGGCGTCGCCAGTGAGTGAGCTCACGTCTTCATCCTGCTGGAGCCCGCAGATGGCAGCTCCCACGCTTCCAGTTGCGATCATCGACGGGGGGTACATGGCGAACTTGAAGTCTGCAAGGAGAGGGAGAAGATCAGCACCCAAAGGTGCTCAAGGCAGAAGCATCCCAGCCGGAAGGTACTCAGACACAGGGTGGCAAGAGTCAGCCACATCAAAGTCAGCCTCCCACCCCCCTCTCTCTCCAGCCTTCCCCTCCAGGGGCTAGAGACTGGTGCAAAATGAGGATCAAACCCCTCTGCTTCCAGCTCTCCAAGGTCAAGAGTAAGGGTGCATCAGAGGGCTCAGTCTGGGAGCCCCGACACCTCGCTTTCTCTGAGCACTCCCCCAAAGGAGCTGGAGACCAAGGTCACCCACTGCTCCAACCATCCTGAAGATACCAAGATACTGCTGATAGCTCCCCCACTCTGCACAGATGAAGCACCGCGCAGGGTACAGCCGACATCCCTAAGGACACAAAGTGTCCCCCTCACGTGATGGACGAGCCTCCCGAACCGCCTTGTGGTGTGAAGAGGCTACAATTTCATCCTCAACCACGCTGCGCTGGAGGGAACCCCCCACAGCGTATGCTATCTCTAAGGTTAGCACTGCAGCATGAAGTTACATAGGAGGAAGGAGAAATGGGGGAGGTAGGAAGGGAAAGCATGGGTCCCCCTTCAAATTACAGCATGCATATTAGGTTGAAACTACAGAAACAGTTCAATCGACTACTTCCTTTTCTCCCTGCAAATGCCCACTTACAGCTCTTCCGTGGAAGGCCTTCCTCGGTAGCCCACTGTCTTACATCAAGTCAGGGCTGTCCTTGGAGCCACTGCTGAATCATCTACTGAGCCCCCTCCCATCTGGGCCAGATCCCAAGAAGAGGCCTGGCTGTGTGTCGGTCTTCTGTCTGTCCCCTGGGCTCTCTTCCCATAGCCCACTCACCATTTCCAACTCCTGGGGGACACAGGCGGCTCCACCCACCGCCTCCTGTCTCTCTCCCCTCCATGCCTTTCTCAGCCCACGCTTGTGACAGAGTCAGTCTCCCTGGCCCTGCTCTGCTGTAGGTCTCTTCCACATGAGGTCACAGGACTGTCCTCTGCCCAATAACCTTGTTAGCTTCCCCCTGTGACATTCATACTGTAGATGAGGCAGCCAGGAGCCATGGCCCCGGGCCCATGGCGGCCCTGGGTGGGAGCATCTGGCAGGGAAGGGCAGAAGAATGGCCCGGCCCTCCCTCCCCTCTGCCCCAGGCCTGGGACCAGGACACACACTGCCACATGCCTATCTTTGTTGTCCCGCTGTATGCAAAACTAACTCCATTTTTAGCAAATTAATTAATTTCTGGAAGCTGGGGAGTAGACATGGGTGGTCCTGAGATGCAGCAGGTGCTACAATCACCCAGAAGGACAATGTGCACTTCCCTTCTCGGATCAGTAGGACAATGCTGGGACAGCCCTCAGGGGACACTGTCCCTTGTCCCCCAGAAGCATAGAGCAAGAATGTAGGTGCCTCTGGGCAGCTCAGAGGGTAATGCACAGGCTGGGCGGAGCGCACCAGGGGCAAGAAAAGGTTCCCCTGCCACGCACAGAGGCAGATCAGGATGTTTTTCTAGATCCTTCAGCTCAGTGCACCTCTGGCTAATCAAAGGTAGGCGACATGAGAGAAAAAAAAAAAAAGCCTGGTCACACGATGGGATCCTGAGAAAGCCACTGGCTTTCCTCCAGGCCCCTGGAGCAACATGTATCTGAGAGGGGGTGAGTCATGTCAGAGCTTTTCCACCTTCCAGTTGCAACTACTGACCCATCGGCGGGTTCCTCTGTAGGTCATGCTCCAGCATGCTGTTGTTGTTGTTGATGATGATGAACTGAACAGAGTAAGATAGAAAGTATCTGGAAGGAAGGCAGACAGTGAGAGTAAATAGTGCTCTGGGAAACCTTTGTATCAGTTTTGAGGGACGTGTAAGTGCATCTGGAGTGTGTTACAAGAGTAATTCTTCATGGTTTAGGTGAGTTTAGGCGAGTTTAGGCTGGCTGAACTCCCAAGGGGCTTCCAGAGCTAATTTGCTTTTACTTAAGGATCTAGAATGAGAGCAAATGCAAGGTAAGGAAAGAACAAGAAGAGAAGAACAAGGCAGCTTCCTGAGGCATCAAAGTCACAGGCATCTTTCCACACAGCATCCCGGCCGCCCCGGAGCACGCTCAGGGACACCTCCTTTCTGCTGCAGGTAGCAGCTCAAGAATGTGTGTTTAGTGCTAGCTCTAACTAGCTGACCTCACCCTCACCCGTGGAAAGTTCTGCCTGGCCCACTCAGCCGTTCCTGGAAACTAAGCTTAAACCCTGGTTTGAGACGTGCTCTGATATCATCACTTGGGCAAGGTGGGAAAGGGCAGCAAAATTCAAACTTCCTGCATTGTACTATGTTCAAGCTCACAACTCTCCATTAACATGTAGACACATACACACATGTGCATACTGCTAGGTGGGTACACAGAAAATGCATGAAAAGCCCCTAGCTCAAGGTGGGGGTAATATGTATACATCTGCAAAATCTTTTAAATAGTATTTTAGTAAAAAGTAATCCCAGGGCCCTCCCTGGTGACACAGCGGGTTAAAGCACAGCACTGAGAAGCTAAAGCCACGTCCGCATGAGTTCGATTCCCGCCTGCCCCGGAGGTGACCACATGGCACGGCAGACCTGTCCTGACCCGCCTGCTGCTCCCCTCAGCAGTGTATGTACTTCGTAGACTGCCTGTTCTGCTCCCCACTCTGTCTTTGGTGAAGCCTCTCACTGTCCCTGAGCTTCTGGCCTGTACCCCAGTTCTGTACGCACAAATAAATAGATCTTAAAAAAAAAAAAAGCAATCCCAGTAAAAACCTCTCAGACAACTCCCAGTCTCTTGGTCACAAATGCAACAAGCTGTGGGAACAGAGGGGCTCTGGGGGCGAGGGTCTCTCTTCAGCCGCTGTTTCCAGAGACCCCCCCCCCACCGCCTGCTCCCCCAGGAGAGAAACGGTTCACTGAGCAGTGAGCCATCCCGATTCCTCCCAAGATGTGAAACACAACTGCACTGTATTCTACATGGCGAGGTGCATGCTACATGGGGGACTTCCAAAGAAACTTCTCATCAGAAAGACGGTGCTCAAGAGCGTCGCGCAGGGTGGCTACCTAAGGGGACTCACTAAGAGCAAGAGCAGGATTTGGGCTGTACAGTCAAGAACCTTCAAGAACCGGGAGGAGAGCAGGGAGGCTCTCCACGTTGTGTGGAGATAGGCAGGTTACCTGGCCTCTCTGTGCCTCTGCCCTCTCACCTGTGAGGAGGATCATAACACCACTGGGCTCAGAGGGCTGTTCTGAGGGTTTAACTGAACAGCCTGTGTAGGTGCATAGCCCCAGAATCAGGCGCTACCGTGATCCCGGCCATCACTGCCAAACTCTCCCACTGGGACCTCCTGTGGCCTGGTGATGGGCAACTCTGACCAGGAGACTGCAGCGCATCTGTAGGGGTGAGAGAAGGCACCTGGCACCCTTATACTCCATGTTGACGCTGGGATGGCAGGCAGAGGCCAGGCCAACTGAGGGCTTGGTGTTTCCCATTCACTATCGGGGTGCTGTGTGCTACACATCACCCCATCCAGTCTCCAAGGCCTTCTGTTGGTGTGTCAGGAATGGGGAGCCAGCGCCCAGAGAATGGGAGAGGTTACAAGCATACAAGGAAGGAAAGATGTTGCCAACCTTCTTCCCAGGGCATCCCACTATCGCTGAGTCAAGAACAATGGCCATGTCCCAGAAGCCCCTGCGGTGACTTCCTCGCTTCTGGTGAGGAGGGGGAGGCCGGGTGCCCCCAGGGGAGGCCCCATCCAGCACAGGCTCAGGACTGATCCTCCATGAGGAAGTCATCAAACCCAGAGAGGACGCAGTGACTCGCGGAAGAGAGCGCCCTGGCTCTGGAGAGCAGATCCGCCAGCACCAGGGAGGTGTGGTCCTGCATAAGGTGCCATGATGCTCCTTCCGCTGCGCCAGGGCAGGGTCCGGGTCATCATCGTCCATTTGGCGCCTGCGCTTCTAGGTGAGATTTCCCAGAAGGAAGATTTTTGACCGACACCCGTGGTGATTCGGTTCTGGCAGTGAGCTCTGTGCTGGCTGTTCTGGCCACGTGGCCCGACCTTCAAGTGCGAGAGCATGTGCTGCTTCTCCACCTCTAGGGGGCGAGACACTCGCTCTGAGGCTGAAAAGAGGGAAGCCCCAGGGCGACCCATCTCCCCTCTCTGAGCTGCTATCAGGTGGACGTAAGCCTAGCAGGCTAAAACAGGGTGCCCACTGGCTAACCAATGGTGCCGGCAGCCACCCCTCCTAAACCACCCCCACATAGGTTCAGCGGGAGAGCGTGGCGGCTAAGCAGCCTGAACTCCAAAGGCCGGGTGGGAAGGGCCCCGCAGACGGCCCCTCGTGCGGCTCTCAGCCAGATGGGAAGTGAGATAGCCCTCCGCACATGGCCTGTCTCCAGGGGCCCTCGCAGAAGAACTGAGACGCTGCTCAACTGCTAATTCCCTGCTGCCCTGTCACCTCTCCACATGCAGGCGACTCAGACGCCCATGCATGGGAAGGTGTGTTTCCATTCTTCCTTCCCGGCAACCGCCAAAGCAATGTCCCTTTTTTGGGGCCAGGGCCAGCCTCCAGCTCTCCAAGGCCCCGTTGGGATGGGCTGTCACAAAGCCTGGAGAACTGGGTGAGCACTGGGTTAGCACCCGAGGTCCAGGCCCACCATGCACAGAGCCCGCACAGCCTCTTAAAAGGTGCAGCTCCTGCTACAAAATGAGGGTGATTCAGGATGCGGGGGAGGGGGGTAAAGTGCCTCCTCCTTACCAAGTGCAAACTCAATGCCTAGAGGAACTCCAATTATTCTAGACTAACTGGAATCATCTGCTGGGCATGATATCATACGTCAGGAATCTCCCCAGGCTGGGGTGCGAGCCTGAGTCATCTCAAGTGGTCCTTCCGTCATGGGAAGGTTGGGGGGCGGGTTCTGACCATCAGGGCCAGGGCTACTGCACACAGGGGCTGGGTACACTCGTACAGGCCCCAGTCTCTAGAAGGAGGACTGGAGGGGCTGGCTGTCCATGACGTTCTGCCCTGCGGCCCCCACCCCCATGCCTCCTTTGACCAGGACTAGCCTAGAGAGGGGGCCCTGGCGGTCTCTGCCTCAGAAGCCATTTGGGGCTGAGGACGAGGGCAGCTCTGTCTCCCTATTGTCTCGCCCAGTGCTGCCCTTTCCTGGGGCCCCAGGCTCCCCTGCTCTCTCGTCCCCTTTCACACACACATACGCTCTCCACACAGGCTGCACAATTCCTGCCAGCTCTTTCACAACCAGTTTTCCCCATAAACTAGCCACACAGCCTGAGATTGGCGATCGTCTCCTCAGATCCCGCGGGCCTCCAAGACCCTGGCTGCAGGTGCTTATCCAGCTCCTGGGCAGAAGAGAGGGACGGAGAGGGGAGAGAGGCCTGAGATGCAAGGCCAGGATTGACTGGACCTCGCCTGCAGTGGTGCTCTGCTCCACGAGGCCCTCTGTGCTTGCCATGTGGTGCAAGATGGTGCTGGCCCTCCAGAGGCAGCCTGCCGGGGCTGGGGGTGCCCACTGCGCTGGGCGGGATTTCCTCCCAGAGCAGCAGCCTTTACACAGGCAGGCTGGTGGGGAATCCTGTGAGTCGGTCATTCAACCCCAAGCTCAGCTGGGGGCAAGATGTGGCCCCAAGGTAAGCCCATCCTTTTGAGGCACTTGCCCTGCTCCGATGGGCACACCTGGCTGGTTGTTCCTGGGCTGGAAGGTTCCCTTCCCCTGAGCTTCCTTCTGCCCTGCCCAGAGCGCTTGCAGGACTCCCCGAGGCTGTCTGCATGCCTCCCTCCGTCTCCCTTTGGGCCTCTGTCCTCAGTCTCTGAATCCCAGGCTCCCCACTCTGGCCTCAAAAGTTGGCAGTTACCCCAAGGATCTGGGCAAGAAGGCCAGGCATGGGGGATGGGATTCCCAGTTTTAGAGAATGAGTCTTTACAGAATCTAGGGAGCCGCCCATGCCACAGTAATTCCACCCTCCACCCCTACCCCAATCACAGACCAGAGAGGTAGAATGGATGGAAGCTGGGCTCTGGCTCTCAAGGGCTGGGCAGTGAGGGAGCAGAGGGCCAAGGGTCAGCTGTGAGGCCCGGGGAAGAAAGGACTGGCTGACCCCTCCCCCACAGCAAACCATGACAATGGGGAGGAAAGGGAGAGCCAGACCTTAGAGACAAAATGACCAGTCAGTAGGGGTTGACCCCCAGAGCCCAGGCCAGACAGCAGGGCAAGGGAAGGAAGCAAAAGGATGGCTGGTGTCTGAAAGGCAGCAGGCACCCATGGGGCACTGAAGAATGGCCCCCCAGGGCTGCACCGAGGGGCACCGGGCTGTCATGGCCGCCCCGAAGCGGGACTGGATGGGGGGTGGGGCGGGGATACAGGACTAAAGAAAATCAGACAGAGGAAATCCAGGCCCTAGAATCAAGTGGGGGCGGCTTGTGGAATCTCCTGTTCAAGTAGGCCAGGCAGAGAAGGGGTCTTGCTGGCACAGGAGGCGGGCAGCTGTTTGAGTTCACTTAGCTGAGACTGGAGGGAGAGGAGGGCATTTTCACCACCTGGGCTGACTTCTTCCTGGGACATCATCTTGTTCTGATTTTCATTTCCCTGCCACTTTGAAAAGGCTGTGGGGTCAGGCCTCAACAGGGGGTGTTTTGCAGACAAGCTGAGGGTCAGAGAGGTCAGGTGGTCTATCCTGGGTCACCTGGAGATACATAGTCAAGCCTGCCCTTCTGACCGTGAGGGGAGCAGATACACTCTGTATCTGCACATACACAGGAGTAACATGTAGCAAGTTATGCATGAAAGCAAACCTCTTGAAACACCTGTATAACTTGCAGCTTGGAAACAAGCTGAACTCTTGGCTTTACACAAATTGTTCTTTACTTAACCCTGAACTCCTGAGGTCTCTCTCCTGACATGCATGTCCTGGGGCCATCACCAAGAAAAGAAGGGTAGGGACTAGCTAAGGGCAAGTTTCTGAGATAGTATCAAAGCAGATGAGTCACATATAAAAAAATGACATATCAATTGTGGGGTCAACAGGGTGGCTAAAAGCCTGGCTACTGGTAAGTTTAAGGTGGCAAAGGGGCCCCAGGAGAGCAGCAGGAGCCAAGACTAGGAACCCAGACCCTGCAGAAAGGCAGCCAGGCCCACTCTGCCTGCGGCCAACAGAGGCAACGGCTACGACAGTAAAAAGAATTCCTTTGGTGTCCCGACTTATCAGGACAGGCGGTGCATTTATCCTGACAGTGTCCCTTTAACCTGCATTCGTCCCCACCCCTTAAATTTCCTCTTGGGCTTATCTCCAAGTCACCCTGTTCCTCAAAAGATTAAAGATTTAAACACAAGCAGAGAGCAGTACATACAACCTTCAAAGAGCATAAAGAATATTTTAACAGGCACCATGTTTCCTCCTCACTACACCTGTCCTCACTTGAGCGAGAGACAATATACCAGCTCAAATAAAGGAAAACACCCCAGAAATGCGATGAACCGGGACCACCCCTCCCCTACACACCCAACCCCCCCCAACCCTCCCCCCCCCCAGGTGAGAACCCCATTGGGCTTCCCCAGTTCTCCCTGGGCGCCTTCGCAGCGCCCCCTCCTGGTGCCCGCCTGCTCCTACCGGTGGCGCACAGAGCAATGAAGGTCTGCGCGTGCTTGCGGATCAAAGGCAACTTCTCATTGGGCTGGGGCAGTTTCCGAAGGATGTGCTCGATGAAGTCGTGGGGTGTGACGGCCGCCAGGTTCCACTTCAACTTGCCCAGCACCACCAGCTCCCACTCCTGGTAAGGAAGGGAGAAGGGAAGCGTGTAAACTCCAAAGACTGACCAGGCGTCAGGGGCTGGGGGCTGGGATCAACCCCTTTTTAATGATGCTCATTACGGAGCTGCTGGATGGTAAGGCGGGCCCATTTGTCAGAGAGCCCTAAAGCTTTGAAGCTGTTGACGGCTCTTCTTAGGCTTCCAATGTCAGGCTCCACTGAAAATAATGAGGGCTCAGGTAGCGGGTGCCAAGATTCCACTTCGTTCTACTTCTTTTCCCCTCCAGCTCCCCACCCCCCACCCCAGCCTGCTTTCCTTGCAGTGTTGATGCCTGCCCACCCAGAAAGCTGAACCCACAAAAAGATACTGCCAGGGTCACGGGGGCCCTCTGCTAGTGATTTATGATGTACGTCTCTATCGCTGGATGAATAGTCTTTTTTCCGACCTCATGGAAAAATGATGCACACGGATAAAGCTCAAAATTAGGCTCCTTGGCCCGACTCCATGGCAACCAATTAGCTTGCTTGTAGTTGGTGCCAGAAAGTGCCATTTTTCTGGCTGCTGTTAAAACTGCCCCCTGGACCCATCGTGCAGAAATCTTGGAGAAATGGCAGCCAGAGGAGACCCCTTCACCTAAATGCTTCACAGGACTTTGTCATCAAGACTGAGGACCGGGGTGGCCATCAGTGACCCCACGTGTGCAGCAGGATGTGATCAGGGTCAAAGTCTGGGCAGAGTCCCTCTGTCTACATGCTGACCGCCCCCTCTTTTACACTTTCAATGAACAGCCCACCCAGTGAAAAACCTGATTTCTCTCCCTTATTGGGCCGGGGTGGGGGGTTGGGGGGGAAGGGAGGTCGGGGAGGAGTTGTGTGTATTGTACTTAATGGGAGATAGGTCAAAAAGAAAACCTTAAGTTATGCGGAATCCAAGGGGAAAAAGGCTTTCCCATAAACCATCATAAGAATGTAAGAAAGAGCCCAGATTGCCAATGCACTCCACTGTCCCAGGGACCCTAAGAAGCCTGAGGCTCCATTTGCCTCCAGGGCCGCAGGCATGGGGTAAGGTGTGGTGTGATTTCCTTCTTTCCTTTGGGGGTCTTGGCTTTCTCATTAAAATCAGGTAGCTCCACTGGATCGCTCCTGCTGGGATCAGGACACTTGGAAAGGGAAAATGGAGGGTCTGTGTGGAGCTTGCGTGTTCCGGAAAGATTGGGGTGTCCTTAAGAAAACTTCAGATCACCATCCCATTGAAACCAATGAGCCAAATGTAAGATTACTTTTTCCTGGTCCCCCCATGAGAAAAACAAAGTAGTTCCCAAATCTAACATTTTCTTCTTTACAAGCTTTAAAATGAGCCTTTGACTTTTGACAGTAAGTTGGCAGTAAAGAAATTCTAAGACGTCTTGAAATTCCAGCTCTTCCTTCTCAAAAGGAAATGTGAGTTTAAACCACTCTTTTAGTACTATTATTAAAGGGAGCAGATCTCCCAGAAGAAAGCACCTTTCTGGGCCTCTGGGCCCAAACTAGAAGCAGCAGAAATCTGGCAGCGGTTCAAAGGTGAAGTCATTCATGCCTCTGTACATTCTCCCAAGTCCTCCCCCATCTTTGCACATGTCTACCACTAGGTGGCAGCACAGCCCCAGAAAGCCAGGCCCCTCACAAAGAACTCAGTTCTAGCAGCCCCTGGACTTTGTGCAGGCCTTGCCTGTGAGGAGGGGTAGGAGGCGGGAAGAGTGGGGCCCCTTTCCTAAACAGGGCGGAGAAAGGTGTGCAGACCACTGAGGGTGGGCCTCGGAGCCGCACTGCCATTCCAGTGCTGCTACAACGTGGACATCTTAAGTGGGACGCTGTGCAGGGGAAAAAAGGGTTAGATTGGGTGGGAAAAGGGTGGCTGGCGAGGGAAACCAGTCAAGACAGGACCCTGTGGTGGAAGAGGCTGGCGCCCACTGGAACTAGGCACCCAAGCCTCAGATTCCTCCAATAAAGAGTCACACTTCCACTTTTTGCCAAAGTCACTGGGCTGATATTTTGGAAACAGCTACTCTGTGCAGGTATCTGAAGACTTTGCAGCTCTGTAAGAGGCTGCCTTTGAACATGGGGCTCTTAGGAGACATATGCTCCAGGTTCCTGTTACTGAGAAGTCAGGCTATTTTCTCCGAATGCATCGATTGGGAATTTGGAATTGAATGAAGACATCAGAGGCCTGTGTTTCCTGCCTCCCACACGCGTGCACCGGCCCATGTGGCCATAAAAGGTCTTACCAATGCTGACTTCACCAGGGTCTTCTTCATGGACGTCTGCTCTATGTTTAGCACAGTGTAGGGCACACGTTAGGAACACAACCTCATATTAAAAAAGGTATCGCCCCTAAGTGTCAGATTCCAGTGCTGGGGTCTGTTAGACTCTAAGAATTTATTTTGAGTGCAGCGGGTAGCACCAAGAGGGGAGAGAAGAGAGAAAGGGAAGGTCATTACCAGCAGCTCCTGGGGCTTGATGGAATTGTCGGTGTAAATGCACAGCTTCTCAGCGGTCAGGGGGATGGTCTCCTTGAGCTTGGAGGCCAGGAACATGCACACAGCACCCAGGAGCTGCAGGTGGGTCTTTGGGGTCGGGACTGCAGCTAGGAAGCGGTCCAGGTAATTCATGGCCAAAGAGAAGACCTCCTCTTCACACTTCTGCTCCTCACAGACCTACATGGAGAGTGGGACAAAGTTTGGGGGTTGGGGGAGGCGAGAGAGTAGAAAATAGTATCAGGAAAAAAAGGGGAAAATAAAATAAAAATGTATCTTAAATATTCGGTGGGGAAGAGGACGAAAATAAAGATGAGGAAATGGGACTCAGTCTAAACAGACCATCCGTGTTTGGGTATTGCTCAGGTGGCTAAAAAAAAAAAAAAAAAGGGGGGGGGTGAATTAAAAATCCCGAAAGGGGCGGCGGGGAGTGTCCGGAGAGGCTCCGCGGCCCTTTGGCAGCGGCTTCAGCGCTCACTCTTACTCACTCGCTCTCTTTTTTGGATTTCGTCATCTTTTCAAAAAATCAATAAAAATATTCTGGAGGCCCCTAGGGTGTCCTTCTTGGACCCATCCGAACCCTCAGACCCTGCTCTATCATTCCCGACAATTGGAAAAATTGCCCGGGGGGGTCCCCGCGGCCCAAGCGCCGCTAACCGGAGGGTGGGTGGGGAGAGGAGACGAGGAAGGGGGGGGGGAGAGGAGCGAGAGAGCCGCGGCGCAGGCGGCTGGAGTCGGAGCGGGGGGCGGTTTCAAAAAATAATTAAAAATCGAGGAAATATCCTAGAAAAGCCCTTTTGGCATGAAAATCCCGAAGAGGACCCAGGCTTCCCGAAACGGGGGTTTCGGGTGCCGGAAACGTCTGTAGTGCGACTCCAGGGGCTCTGAATCCCGAGGGGAAACTTGAAGGGTTGAGCGCTACCGCGGAGTGTCCGGCCGACTGCGGCCCACAAGGGCAGAAACTGGGGGACTTGGTGACCAGCTGGGGGAAAGACGAGGAGCGGGGAGTCGCTGGAGAGAGGCACGAGGGACTCTGACTTCTCTTTTAGGGGTGCCCCAATATCCCCCTCCCTACACACACCTCCCCCCCTTCCTACCCCACCCAAATCTCCGCACCGAGGAAAGTGGAAAGTCAAACTGTAAGTAACCTTCGTGAGGTGGGGGTCGCGGGGGAGGGCTCTATTAGAAGTGGGGTGGTTGGAATACTTGGGTGCGAGGGGGAGCTGGAGACGTTTTCCAGCCTTCCCAACCCGAGTTTGCAAAGCAACATGGCGAAACCACGGCAGGTCCGGAGCTGTGCATACGTGGGCACACATGGCTTGCTCCGCAAAGATTGGGAGCGAGGGTACCGAAGTGGTTCTTTTGGGTCCCCCTAAAACACACGTTTCTTCATTGTGACTTCCGGGGCTCCTGAATTCCCCGTTTCTCTCCTCCCTCCCCCTCCTTCCTCCCCCTCCCCCTTTAAGTGCCAACGCGGAGTCGCGGCCACATGCGGGGACTTGAGGCTGGGGCGAATATGCTCTGGCCTTTTTTGGGGGGGCTGCTTTTTTACCGGTCGCCCGATTTCACGCTCCTACTCCCTTCTTCACCGCCCGAAAGCAGTCGCGGCTTTGCAAAAGACAGGTCCGGATGGGGGTGGGAAGAGGCAGCCACATGCAGGCACACGCGCGCGGGATGCTCCCCACCCCCGCCCCAGGACAGTGTCTTTTCCACCACATTTTCCTCACACTCTTCTCTCCCGGCCCCCCACCCCAGTTAATCATGCACCCTGCAAGGGTCCGTAATGAGGCACACGTCTCGCCAAAGGGCGCGGGGAAACCTCGCGCACAGGAGAAGAGAGGCGAGCGCGGAGGCTGCCCTCACCCAGTTTTAGGGTCCCTGCGTGGGGGGGGCGGGGGAGGGGAGCAGCCGGGAGGGGGCAGACGGGGCGTCTGTCTGCAGACCTACCTCCAGCATCCAGGTGGCCACCATCCTGCGCATGTAGGGCTGGATGTCCTTCTGCACGCATTTGAAGTAGGAGCACTGGGGAAGGTAGCGCTCCTCGATGGTGAGCAAATTCTGCAAAACGCGGTCGTCGTGCAGCAGGTTGGTGTCCCGCACGGCCCTGCGGACCGGGTCGACCTCGCAGCACAGCAGCTCCATAGCCAGCCGGTGCCCACTCGGTCCCCTACTTGCTCCGGACTGGAAAAGTTATTTTCGGAGGGGGGAGGGGAGAGGGTTCCCCTTACCTCCTTCCTTTGGCTAATTAGGGAGTTTGGGGGGGAAGTTTAAGGACAGAGAGAAAAGTTGTGGGAGAAGAGAGGAAAGGTTTGGGGGGTGGGAGAGAAGATCCGCGGAGGCTGCCTCAGCCTGCGCTCCCCTTCAAACTTGTCTGGCTCTCTCCGACTCGCTCCGCTCTGTGCGCTCAGAAGCAGTGACGCAAACTGGCTGGGCAGCTCTCCTCCCCAAGCCTCGCTCCCCTCTCTGGTTCCTCCTCCCTTTCCCTCCCCTCCCGCCCCTCCCCTCCTCCTTTCAATCTCCCCCCCCCCTCCCTTTCCCCTCTTGTTATTAAGGAGAACAGCAGCTGGCCCGAACTAACTTCAAACGCGGTCCCCCGCCCCCCCCACCCCTCTCCCTGCTCTCGGAGGCCCTCTCCCTCCATCCAGCCCCGCATGCCAGGGGCCCCGATAGGGGAACCCACAAAAAAAAAAAAAAAACGATTTCTATTTATTCCCTCTAATCTCGCACATTCTGTACGTGTATCGCGCCAAGACCCCCGCCCCCCTTCGGCTGCTACAATTCTGATGCTGACGCCCCTGCTCGTGTATTTTAATCGATTCAAAAATGACAGAAATGACGGATGGGGTGAGCTCAGACAATTTGGAAACAAATCCCTTAAGTGAAAAATAATCAGGGCGATCTCAGAAAATAGCAACGTCGCATACTCAGAGTGATAAAGGTTCTGTTTCTGAAATTTGTTTCTGATCATTCAGAAGTTGTTTCAAAAGCCCCTTTAAAGGGACCAGAACAAGGTCCTCTCCCTGTCCTTTGCAGATGTGTGCGGAGAGGAAGAAGTGGAAGGGGTGGGTGTCACGAGGGAGGGGGAGGCTTCCCGACGTGATAGAATGTGACCCTGGAGTAGAAACCACTCTATTCTTGGGGGCGCTACCGGCGCCATTGGGAGCCGCAGTGAGGCGCCCAGGGCTGCCGCAGGCCAGGGGAAGGACTACCAGTGGTTCCTCCGCGGCCAGTGGCCACGCAAGAAAAACCCGCTTCCTCGCCCTTGCATCTGCTCACAAGCGGCCCGAGGTGTCTGCTCTGAGCGTGGCCACACTGATACAGCTTTCTAGGAAATAGCGGGGAGGGGGAGGGGGCGAAGGAAGGATTCGGCTCGGCTCCCCTTCGCGTCCCCCCCCCCCTGCAAACTACATCACCCCTTCCTTTCCTCCGAGGCCCAAGACTTCCACCCTCGGTCCTTCGCCTGCATCCTCGTGGACCCCTCGGGGTTCACACCTCACTCGCCAGCCAGGGCTTTCTCCCAGGCAGCGGGAAAGCGGTGGAGATGCTGCCAGCGCAGTTGGGTCTGACATGTGCTCATACACATCTCCGGTCAAGGTTGCTTTTGCGTAGGATATGGTGGCGTTTCCTCACCTCCTTCCTCCCGCCACCCCCCACCCGGCCGGTCTGTGCGATTTCACTTTGAGAGGAAGGGGCGCGCGCCCGGAGCCTCCACTGTGTTGGGGGAGCGGGCACGTGCAGCGAGCGTGGCGTGGGTCGTGACTCCCCCGATACTCGGAGAGCGAACGAGTCCCCCCTTCATTGGGAAAGGGGGTCCGAACTCGGACCCCCAAAGCTAAAGGGTGGGGGGACGAGAGGGTAAGCTGTTCAATGAGTTCCCAGTAATGGGGGGGCGGTGAAAAAGACGGCGGGGAGTAAATGCTGAGGTGCAAGAGATTAACTGTGGCCGAGCCAGCCCCTTTAAACGAGGGTGGGGCGGAAGGGGGGAGGGATATCGCTTTAAAAGGGTGAGTAAGAGTTTGGGGCGCCGTCTCCCCTCCCTCTATTTGCATAGCCAATAGCTCTGAGGCTCCTGCTACTGCGCGCTGATTGTTACCGGGCAGATTACTTTTTTTTTTTTTTTCTGTAGGACGCGTTGCCCGCTACATCAAAAGGAAGCCAAGGCGGGAGGAGGGAGAGCAGGGACTGAGGCTGGCGAGGGCTGGGAAGAGGCCGGGGCGCCCCCGACCTTATCTATAGCTGCGGGAATTAGTATCCAATCTACTGTATGTAAAGAAAGGGGAGGGAAGGGGGCGGGCGAGGAAAATGTCTAATTGCTGTGGAAGCCATTAGCTTTCGGGAGGAAAAATAGCTCACTGAAAGCCCCAAGTTGCAAACTCAAAATGAAACAGTCACTCGCAGCCGATGACACCCAGAGCAGAGCGTTCCTCGGAATAGAGTCACCCGCCACGATCACCTATTGATTTTAGTCAACTTGGACTTCCCGATTGAAGCTTTTGAGTCACTCGGGATACAAACGTTAAATTACATTTTAAGACCCCATAAAGACTTCAACTCAGCCACCTTAGAGTGGATCCAAGAAAAGTGAGGGGTGGGGGCAGGAGGACAGTAGGGGCCAGGGAGGTGTCTTTAGAGTGTAAATCTATCTCGACTAGCGAGGACAGAAGCCGGCCAGGGCTTCCAGCCTCTGACATCACTAGATAACTACCGGAGCACGGTCTCGCTCCATCTTCCTGCAGGGAACACGTCCAGAGCTTGGAGTCTCCGGCTGCTGCAAGGGGGGGGGGGGCGTCGGGGAGGAGGCGGGTGGTCGTCCTCCAGGCTCGCCCACCCAGGGGAGAAAGCCTGGGTGGCGGGTCCTCAAGTCTGGGCTCGGAGCCGCGGGCCCTCTCGCCTCCTTCCCTCCCCCCTGCTGGTACCCCTGCCTTGCTTTACTGCGAAATTCCGGAGGGGAGAGGTGACCCGCGAGGGGAGGGGTGCGCGGGGCTGGGGACCGGTGCCCCCTCTCCCCGCCTTGCGCTTCATTCACTGAGACCCCAGCTTTTGGAAGCTTCGTGCGTGGCGGGCTCGCCCCTTTTAGTTCCCCCATTCACTTCCCCTTCCTATAAGGGACTGTTCCCGAACATTAACTTGATCTCGATAGGTCCCCCAGTCGTTTTTTTCAGTCTCCAGCGTATGGGGTGGAGCGTGAGTGGGTGCGGAGGTTGGCAGGAAAGTCTCAAGGAGGCTCGGGCTGGAAACAGAGTTTTCCCTTTCGGTGTCCACTCAGACCATGTGTTGAAGCCTTAATCTTGCTTGTTCAAAAGCGCTCCGCCTAGCACGCGGGAAAAGGCACGTTGCCTTCTGGGCAAACGTGCGCATTTTCTTTGAACATAGACTTGGGTTTAGGGGGAAAGCCCAAGCCCCCCGTGCTTTTGACTTTCAAGTCAAAGCTGGTCACTGGGCAATGGGGGGCGGGGGCAGAAAGAAAGAAAAGGATGTTGGTTCTTCCTTATCATTTTTTCACCATTAAGGGAAAATATATTTTATTTATTGCACACACACACACACATAATATATATCCTGTCCTTTATAGGATCCGTGATGAACTTTAGCAAAGGCAAATTTTATTGGATTTTTACTCCCTCCTTTTCAGCTCCCCACCCCCTACTCCTCTCGTTTGGGAGTTTCGGTTGGAAAGTGTACAAAACCCTGTAGGTGTAGGGTGCAGCCGGGGGTTGGGTGTTTATAGGCATATTTCTGCAGAAACCTGCAACGTTACGCACACATGCGCCTTAGCTCACCTGGCGTGTGCCCGGATGGCCAGGTGATCGCGCCACCGGCTCAGAGACTCTGTAGCCACTGGTGTTCGAGCCCCGTAGCCTCCGCTAACCCGCAGTGAGCAGGGTGGGGGAGGGGAGTGAATGCAGACTCAGAAATGGGAGCCGTGGCCCTTACCTCAACGCACCCCAAAACTAGAGCTGTGTTCGCTCCCCTGTTGAGCAATGGACGGCTGGGTTATCCAAATCCAAAACCCGACGTTTTGAAAAAGTGGATGATAGGGGGGTCTCTGTCTTGGGTGCAGGCTCTCCGAGAAGTAGAGAAGGCACTCCAGGAGGTACAAAAGAAAGAAATGGGAGGTCAAAGGATGGGAGTAAACTCAAATGCGAAAAATGTGCGCGAAGGAAGGTCGGGGGCTGGATTGCACAGGGAAAGGTGGGGAAGAGCCGTCGCGAGGATTCCCGAAGCCGGGGCAGTGAGATTTCAAGGTGTGGATAGCCTTCCGGGGCCCGCTCCCCGCCACACCCCCGCCAGATGCGCCCTGGGGTGCTGGGGACCCAGCGGGGGCTGAGTCGGGCCGGCCTGGGTGTTCCAACTGCCCTTGCAGTGCGTTTCGGCTTGGACCGGGGCTGGGTTCCTGAGGCAGCAGATGCGATAGGCGTGGGTTAGCCAGGCCAGCGCCTGCCGTCTGTTCACCCACCTAGCATCTCACTCCCCCACCCAACCCCCTTGGAAAAGAAATAAAAAAAAATAAAAGACCCGAACTTCCCCCTCTTCCTGTCTGATTCAGCTGCAGGGCACGCCTCACACGGCCGAAAATAACTCTGGAAATGCATTCGCTTTGTAAAAGTGAATTTTCCTCTAAGATTTGGGGAGGGGGGCGTCTGGCTCGAGGCGTCGGCGGAGCTCGGCCTCCCGGGAGGAAAAGGAACGCGCCTGCTTGGTCCTCTCCCTCCCCAGGCGCCCCCAGGAGGGAGCCGCGGGGCAGCGGAATCGCGCCTTTGCTCGGGGAGCCACCACGCGGCTTTTTCGCGGAATTTTGACGTCACCCACACGTGGGGGAAGGGGCTGGGAGACGAGAGGAAG